AAAGTGGAAGAAAGTTTAATTTGCTCTCTGCTTGAGTTGAGGCACTCATCTTTCCCTGGCTTTGGACATCCATTGGCACTCTGTTCTTATTTTTTGGACTCAGATTGAGACTTACAGCAGAGGTTCCCCAATTGTCAGGACTTCAGACTTGTACTGAATTACATCACCAGCTTCCCTTGATCTCCAGCTTATAGATAACAGATCATAGGACTTCTTGGCCTCCATAACCATATGGATCAATTCTTATAATAGATATCCTCAACTATATATCGCTTATTTATCATCTATCTATCTAATCTATCCATTTGTCATCATCTATCTATAATTATCTACTGGTTCTATTTCTCTGGAGAACCCTAACTAATGCATATATATTATTGTAGATTTCTCTTAGGTTGATGATATATATTCTTCTTCATGTCTACTAAATCTTTCAATGTTAAATTATATCAAGTTTTCTTTTGACTGGCTATGGACCATCATAACAACATAACAACATAACTACATAACTCTGCAATAAAAAATATAGCAGTGGCCTTTAATTATGGCATTGCATTTATTATATTGTAACCTTTCCTCATTTCATGCCTGTTGATTAAGTTAGTTTCTACTGACTAACAGAATTAGCATTAGATAACTTTTAAAATGTGTATTCTAAAAACTCATCTGTAGAATTAAATATATAAATGCTATATGATATATAAACAATACAATATAACATAAATTACATATGAGAATTCTATTTTTTCTTCTCAGGTCAAAACAGTAGTATGCAGGTTTTGAATCTGAGGCAATCAGAAAATACATGTACTTTTTCTTTTCCATTTTTCCTGTTCATCAAAGATAATTGCTCTGAAAAAATAAAGGGGAAAAGTCACCTGTATGCCCAATAAAATTAAAAATTATGGTTAATTCAACAAATAGTATAAGGGTAACCTCTTTATAGAGTTCTATAATGTAATTTATTTTAACCAATATTTGAATACATAAATGCTAAAGCATTAAATCATTTAAAAATGTTAAAAGATAACACTGCAAGAAATTTTAAATGATGAATTGAATACCATTTATGCTTACTAATCCGTGATGCAGCCTACACCATTGAAAAATATTCTCCAATTTGTCATTATATGCATCTATATGACTACCACCATTTAATATATATTTGTATTATTTACATTTATCTAATACATTAAATTTTCTCTGTCTCTTCATCTCATCCTTAAAATATTTTATACTCACTATGATATTATGGAGTCTCTGTTTTCCAGGCTACTCTTGGATTCACTCTCACTTTCAAGTTCCCTATACATTTAAAAACAAATATAATCACTTAAAATTATATTTTCTTTGAAAATTACAGTACAAAACTCTGCACTATCTGTCTGTACTGAAACAGTTTTGAATTCCTTTCTGAGATCTGAGACTACTTTATCACTGAAATAATCTCTCACTGGTAATTAAGACTAACGTGAGAAAAAAAGCACAGTAATATAAGTTTATTTGAAAATGAACTTAGATAATTTTTACATTTATAACACTATTAGCTAAATAACTTTAAACTTTTTTGACATTTATCTTCTGCCCTGTTTCTTTTATTTATTTATTTAATTTTTTTCAATTGCAGCTTACTTTCAATATTATTTTGTATTAGTTTCAGGTATACAGCCTAGCAGTTAGACAATCATATATGTTACAGTGCTCCCACAATATTCCCAGTACCCACCTGGCACCATACATACATAGTTATTACAATATTATTGGCTATTTTCCCCATGCTATACTTTACATTCCCATGACTATTTTGTATCTACCAATTGTACTTCTTAATCTTTTCACCTTTTTCACCTAGCCCCCAACCTCTATCCCTCTGGCAACCATCAGTCTGTTCTCTTTATGAGTCTCTTTCAATTTTGATTATTTACTTATTTTGTTCTTTAGATATCACATATTGGTGAAATTTATATGGTATTCATCTTTCTCTGACTGACGTATTTCACTAACTGCTCTCCTAGATTTCTCTGCTACCTTTTAATAAAATAGTGTATGCAAAATTCCTTGAAATATATAAATATCAAAAATAAAGTAGTAATGTTCAATACATAGTTAATAATTAAGATGAAATAATAAAAAGAGGTAAACAAACATTAACTAGAAGTAAATTTTGACTTAATTTTACCCCTAACAGAGTCCAAGTTGCTATAAGATTAAAATTTTTGACATTTAAAAAAATTATGTTCATTATTCATTATATTAATCCTTAATATATTAGGAAGTATTAAATTTCCATATAAAGATAAAATTAAATATGAATTATTACTTGTAACATTATCATAATGTTATTTATTAATAAGTTACTATGAATATTAATAAGTTATAAAGTAATAAATCTTAGATATAAAATCAATATACTCATCGCTTGTATAGTCCTCAGTTTTCCATTTCTTTCTTTGTAAATAAACTTTTACCAGGGTTATTATCATTATACTGAGAATAACACAAAAAGGAATGAGTAGGAAAAATGGCCATCTCATAGGTTTCGAAGGATAAACATTCTCAACATAAAGTCTTTCTAGGAAAGAAAACAGTGATTTAAAAGTAATTATGAGGAATATAGCAAAGACATGTTTGTTTTTCAATATAACTATTAGAATAAACTTTTAGCTACTTAATAGTTTTATAATTAATATTTTAATGAAGTAGATAAGTTGACAGTTTCAGTGCCCAAGGAGACTTCTAATTCTGACAATAAAAGTTCTATCCCTTGCTTTTGATTGAGCATCTTCCATCCATGTACTCTGTTTAGAACTGTTTGGTAATATAGATGAGAAGAATGAAAGTGTGATCTTTGTATAAGTGAGTTTTTCTCAATTTCTATTTTTAGTAAGAAATAATGTATATTTAAGAAAATTTTAGTAAAGTCCAAATTTTCTATTATTGCATTGATATATATTTTTATATTTTATCTATGAAATTATTTTATATCCCAAGATGATATAAAATTTTTTCTGTTTCTTTCAAGAAGATTTATACTTTCAGCTTCTTTCTTTAGATTTATTCCATATCAATTTTTAACTAACGAGATTTTTTAAGTTGTTTGGGCTTATGTTGGTATCCAGTTGTAATAGTACAATGTTTTGAAATGACTTTCCTTACACATTAAACTACCTTTGTACTTTTTTTGAAAAATTAATTAACCTTATATTAACGGATAAATTTATAATCTATCTATCTATCTATCTATCTATCTATCTATCATCTATCTATCTATCATCTATCTATCTATCTATCTATCTATCTATCTATCTATCTATATCTATCTATCTATATAAAAGCATAATATGCAAATTGACTGGACAGTTGCAAATTGACTGGACAGTGGAATGACTGGCCAACTATGATGTCCACTGACCACCAGGGGGCAAACGTTCAATGCAGAAGCTGCCCCCAGCCCACAGACCCAGATCGCTCGATGGAGAACTAGGAACCAGGGGTGGGTGGTGGCAGACACAGGAGTCACCTGGGCCCTGATTGCCCTACTAGTCACCCCACACACAGAGGTGGCAGGGGGAGGGGTTAGCTAACAGGCAGGAACAGCTAACCTCTTGGTCCTTCCCCCCAGCCCGTAGGATCCAATCGCCCAATGGGGAACAGGGAACCAGGGGTGGGTGGTGGTGGATGTGGGCTGATTCCCTGCCAGTTGTCCCACACACAGAGAGTGACCAGCAGCATCAGCAGCAGCAGTGGGGGGTGGGAGAGGGTGGGGGAGGTGGACCTGGCAGCTGGAGAAGATTGGCCCTGATCGCAGGCCAGACCTAGGGACCCTACCTGTGCATGAATTTCATGCACCAAGCCCCTAGTTTCATTATATTGATCTACTTGCATATTTATCCTATACAAATGCCACACTGTCTTGATTAATTTAACTATAAACTAAATTTATACTATACTAAATTCAATATAAGGCAATAAGACAAATAGAATAAATAGTCCTTCATTGTCATTCTTTTTCAGAGTTGTTTGGTTATTCTAAGTGCTCTTTTGTTTATTATAGAATCAAATTATCTACACTAATAAAAGAGAAACATGCAAATTGGTGTCACTCCGCTACCCTTCCCATTGGCTAATCAGGGCGATATGCAAATTAACTGCCAGCCAAGATGGCGGCCGGCAGCCAGGCAGCTGGAAGCGAACATGAGGCTTGCTTGCTTCAGTGACGGAGGACTCCAACGTTCCCGCCTGCTGCTGTCAGCCTCTGAGCTTGCAGTTTGAAGCATTGTTACAAATATAGAAGCTAAACAAAACCCCAGAAACCTGATTTCAGCCAGCCGGGATCTCAGAGCTGGAGTTGAAACAGTGTTTCAATTATAGAACCCAAACAAACCAGATACCTGCTTTCAGCAGCCCGAGGCCTAAGAGCTGGAGCCAAGCCTCAGGGCTAAAGCTGGCCCAGAATAAAAAAAAAAAAAAAGAAAAAAAAGGAGCGGTTGGGAGCTTCAGTCACCCACCAGCCTGAAAACAGCCCTCAGCCCCTCCACCCAAACTGGCAGGCACCCCAGTGGGAACCCCCACCCTGAAGGGTG